TATGCAGAATAGCGGACCCCAATAGACAAAAGCGGATGGAGCTCAGCCCTGTAATTAAAATTCTGGCCAGCTAACGGGGTACAGTCAAACAAAGGCTGCGATAACAAGCCAACAGTGCACTGCGCGATATGGGATCTATTGGCAAACGCTTGTTGCGAATGCGCTTGTGTAATCGAGTTAATTACGCTGACACTGTGCATTTCAACTAGTTTCTACTTCTATGTGGCAGCACAGTTTGGTTGCAGTTGAAAGTAGATCGATGAAAAAGTTTGGCTAAATGTTGCAGTTAAGGAAATAAGAAATAAATAAAAGTTTCGATAACTTGTACAAATAAATTACTACTTTTAACAATCTGCAAACGACGATAATCACATGAAACAGCTCTGCGATAAGTTTGGCACTCGAAATGCCATTTCCAAATATTGTTAGCGATAACTTTGCCCCTCGACGTAGCCCTACGAGTTTCGAACCTTTTACACATATTGCCTACATTTTCCAGGGAAATTTCGACTGTCAAAGTTGGGCGCTTGATAAATGCTAAGCAATGCAATGCCTGATTCGCTTTTCAGTTGGCAGTCAACTTGTTATCGCTGGCTGCCCAGCTCTAAACAGAGTGCAGTACAGTTGGCCCGGGGTCGGACATGTTGCTCACATCATAAGTCACACATACACACACAAGCACTCACACACACACACACATGCATAGACGATCACATTTGCCGTATTGCACATTCTTTGCCACAGTCACAGCAGCAGTTGTTGCGCCTCATTGGATACCAAAATGGGTGCCTGGGGAGCTCCGACAGCGGAGAGGAGAGATAGGGCTATATGTACTCTATATATACTGTGTATTTTCGCTTTAGCAATTGCTGCTGTGTAGCGCCTGCGGCGGGAAACCGACCGAAAATGTCTGCTGTTCCAGCTGAATTGTAGATTTGGCCACTGCACGCTTGCCTCATATACATACATACATAGAGATATGTAGCTGGCATTCAGCATCGGTTGCATGCTCCAATATGCCTGCATGCACACACTTTAGAGACACGTTAAGGACCCGATGAAATTATGGCAGTYCATTTATGCGAAGTCCATTTAATGGCAAATCAAATTGCTGTAAGCGGCTTACTGCCTGCGCCCAGCCGTTGACAATCGCCTGTCGTCCAGGATTTCAGACAATAAACAAACATAATGGCACCCGCACATAAATCACAAACTATTAAGGCATCGAAAGGTATAAGCATAAAAAAGGAYAGWGTTGGACGAGTCGATATTGTCCGACTCGAAAACACTCTTTATATGCAGCTCTTATGTAAAGAGTATACGAAAATATTGCATTGGATGGTATAATTTTTTTTATTTGTTTTTAGGGTATTCCAAAAAAAATTATTTTTGTTGGAAAAAATATATAAAGCACTTTGATAGTATATAATTA